GGCAACCATGGGCACCAAGCCACAAGGTTGCCCTTAGCTCCTACATGTGGCTCCCAAAGCCTTATCCCTTAATTCATGTTTATCCTTTTTTTTTCCTTTTTTTTTTACCTTGATTTAACTCTAATTTGACTCAATTCTTAAACTATTATATACCTTTTTTTCTTCTTTAATCCCTAATTAAATTTCATTTTATCACATATAACTATATCATTCAATACTTTATTTTACTCATACAGAATATTTAATTAAACATTTAGGGTTTTTCTCATTTATAATTAAATAATACTAATATAAAATTTAAGGGACAACTTAAATTTTCGGGTTGTTACAATGCATGAGTTTTCAAATCCAATTTCCTTAAGGTTTGTTCAATTCACATTTAATTGTGTCAACAATAAAGGTTTTCTCCAATCCCACCATTTTCCACAATCTCAATATTCATCTACATTAACACATATCCAAGAAAATTCAAGAATCTCATGCCTCAACACCATTTCCATAATTATTCACCCAATTTCAAGATTTCAAAGTCAATTTGGCCAAACCCATTATTAAATCAAATTTGAAAATTAAGGTTTGTAGAAAAATTGGGGCTCTCTCCCATTAGCATATAAAATTCAATATTCATTCCCAACATAAAGAATCAACAAGAAAATTTTACAATCTTTCTCAAAATTGTTAGATACAAGCTTCCATTAACACTACAAACCACTTTAATTTAACAAAACATCTTATACCATATTATACATAAGAAATTGCCACATATATATCTCAAATGAAGAATATAACGAGTTAAAAGTACTCATACCTCAAGATTGAAGGCAAATGGTGAATAGCCAACTTCAAGCTTCAAGAAATGAGAGAACGATCAGTAGGACTTTTAGTCTAGGCTTGTTCTTCAACCATCTTTGAAGATCTAAGGTGAATCTTCATAGAAATTAAGGGAAATCAAGTATTTAGGGCTAGGGTTTCAGAGGAAAGGTGCTAGAGAGAGAGAAGAGTTGGAAAAAGTGAGAAAAATGAGTGTCTGATTGACATTTAAGTGAGTTGTCCCGATCAGACCGCTAGAGCGAACTATTCACCACATGAACGGTAAATGCAAGGTTCCAGAAGTTTTGCAGAGCTACAGTGAAAATACTAGGGGCCTGAATTTTGCGCTTAAGCGACCACTCCATCGCTTGGACGGTCTCGCCTTAAACATACAAGATACTGGGACCTGTGCATCTTTGCTCGAGCGACCAAATGATTGCTCGAGTGGTCACCCAGAATCAACTGTTACAGAAATTACTATTAGTCGATCAATTTTATTGAAATTAATTTGGGTAATAAACTAGTTACAATTGTGCGCGTACACACACATAGGGTAGCTAAGAAATTTTCAGCTCAATAAGTTTTTTCAAGATCGACTTGAGATAATTTGAGACCTATGAAGCATAGATACAGGTAGGAGTACCGGTATTAGTACGATATGGGCACGTTGATACGGTAAAATCCCAAAAAAAAAAAAAAAAAAGTAGGTACATGTACGACTTAATACATTTGTAAAAAAAAAATAATAATTTGGAATAATACAAAAAATGATTAAATGGTTTAATTTGTTAAATTCAAGATACAATTGATATTTAATGCCAAAAGTCCAGGTATAAGATAAACAAAAATTTAATATTATTATCTTAAATAACTTACAAATCATAATTTAATTTTAAAATCATACTAAGTACAAAACTAAAAATAAAAAAGAAATCTAATAAAAAGAATTTTATCTTTGTAGTAAAAGAAAATATTGTTTCGACTGAGGCACGTCACAGCTTGGGTATATACTAGATATGTTTGGGTACGCCAAAAATTAAGAAGAAAAAATTTTAGTACGTATTTTGTGTATCCGATATGTATTCATACATTGGTGAGTACTTGGTACGACATGTTTGTCGAATTATCCATACTTCATAATCTCAAGATAATTCTAAATGAGGATTTTTATATTTTTTATTATTTTTGGGGGGATTTGGTCAAAATCCCCTCATAATAAAATTTTAACATTAAGGACAAGCACAAAAAAATTTCCTTAGAAAGTCCTACAAATATCACTATTATCAAAATATTAAACTTTAAAATAATATAACTTTTGATATAGATGTCGATTTTTAATAAAAAAAAAATGTTTTTAAAATTCTCTTATCAAGATCTATAAAATAAAATCAATGTTGACTATGAAATTCTTAAAAAAAAAAAGAAATTATTACCATTGAAATTGATGTAAACAATAACAGTAACATGTTACTCTGTCCCACAGTAACATGTTACTCTATTTGATAGTAATATGTTACTCTGACAATATTGTCCAAGCAAAAAAAAAGGATATTTTACTTATTATGTTTTTTTTCCTTAGGGAGTTTATGAAGAAAAATAAATTGGATTGTTCTTTTCACCAAATAAGAGTCCAATAGAGGGTTTTGACTAAATTTTCCTTATTTTTTTACAAAGTATATGTTATTTAAGATTTAATTTTTTTTATTATTGATATAAAAAAAAATTATTTATTAAATATTTAAATTTATTTTTTTTATATTTGGATCTCAAATTGATTTTTAAAATATAGTTTGGAAAGTAAAATAAAATTCTAAATAAATTTTGGTGTCACGTCAGCACATTTTGTCTAATTATAGACGGAATATGACGGCAGGAGCTAAACTTATCAAAATTTAAAAAGTTTGAGTGTAAAATTAATATTAATTGATATTTATGGGTCAAATTAAAAAATATGTGAAATTTTGGGGTTAAAATAATACTTTCTCAAAACTCCGCTACGTAACTCAAATTATCAACGGCTCAAATAGCCCGAAATTTTAAAACGACGTCGTTTTGGAATTTTTTTTATTATCTTAGCGGTAAGATTTATTCTCTTACCGGTAAAATAATTTTTCTATATCAAGTCTGAGTCATTCTCTTACCGATAAAAATACTAAAACGACATCATTTTAACCTTCAAAACATTCAAGGTCTTACGCATTCGAGTTCTCACGTATTTTCCCATGAAAAGTATTTGAGAGCTTTAGGCTCCGTTTGGGAAGAAAAAAGTCAGGCTTTTTTGGCTAAAATAGCCAAAAAAAAACAAAATAGGCTTTTTAACCACAAAAAACAAAACATCAAATCCAATCCATAATCATTACAATCCTCTCTCACAAAAAAAGTCAAAAAAGTTAAAAAGTCAAAAAGCCAAAAAGTCCTTCCCAAACCAGGCTAAAATAACCAAAAAGTCAAAAAGTCAACCCACTTCCCAAACAGAGGCTAAATTGGAAGTTCTAAAGGAGCTTTAGAGAGTGGGTCTCATTTAATGATGTGATGTTTTGATCTTAATTTTTTTAAAAAAAAAAAATTTTACCTTATTAATGATCAATTAATACTCCTAAATTAATGGAATGAATCATTGTTGATTTTCCCATACCTAAATCGGCAAAGTGTGATTTCCTTACGTAAAAGTAGGTTGCTGCTACCTACGCCTAAACGCGGTAGGTACCTGGACAAATAGGTACGCGTGGTCAACAAGTTGGACGCGCCTTTCTCTCTACTCGTTACAGCATCTGCAACATTTGTCAAAATTTCGTTTTATTAGAACATTTCTAATGATAATTACTATTATAAAATTATAAAAATTATAATTTGACATGCTTTAGTAAATTAGACTTTATCTCTTTGAAATTTAAAATATATGTACAATTAATTTTAAATTTTTAACATAATTAATTTAGTATTTTTAAAATTTCAATTCATGTAACAATTAAGCTCTTTTTATTAATAATTTATTAATTTTTTCTCTCTTTCTACCAAAATGTATATTTATTTTTATTTATTTCTATGTCTACCTACTCTTTGGATTAATTTCCGTAAATTTAATGCTAATAAAAAAATTGGTAATTTAATAACTTTACTAAAAGAGATATTAATATAATTATGTCAAAAATATAAGATTGATTATATTTTTTTCAAATTTCAAAAGCAATAAGTGTATTTACACTTATTACTTTAGCTAAAAAAAAAATTTAATGTATACTTCATAATACTCTTTATTTTAATTATAAATATTTGAATTATTCATTTAATATTTTTTATGAGAAAAAAATGGAAGAGAAAAGAGAAGAAAAGAAAAGAGTTGATGATTAATAACAAAATTAGTTAACGAATAATGGCTAAACATAAATAAATAGTCACTATTCACAAAATTATTTTAAACTAGTCTGTTTGGAGAGATTTTTTTAAGGTTTTTTTTTTTTTTAACACGATACCACTGATGAGATTTTTTTAAGTTTGATTGGCTATTTTTGGTAGGTTGTTGTGGATGCTCTTAGCTGCCACATTGATCATTTTAAGATATACATATATACAAATATGAGCAATGTTGTGTTATCTCAAATGGTTTAAATTTTATTTTGTTGGTCATTTGGCCAGTCGTTCAATAAAAAGACTAACAGTTGTGGTCGACAATGTAATAATCGCGATAGATAAATATTTCACCCAGTCGTTCAGGTGGTCATCCGACCAGTCGACCGGTGAACACAAATTCGAGGCAACTCAATTCGAGGCACCAAGGATTTCACTACAAATATTTATAGGGAAGAGAAATTAAAAAACTCGTCATTTTAATTTATAAATTCATCCACAATGATATATGTATCAATAGAGTTGGCCCTATAAAAAGATGCTACAATATCCATCCTAAAAAGGTACATATGATAAGTACTTTATAATTTTTTCAACTCCAAAAGTTATAATTTTTTTCATCACAAAATGTCAAAATAAAAATCACAAAAGGTTATAATAAAAATCATAAAGTGTTATAACTTCATCATTCATAATTTTAGCTTGTGCACTATAAATTCATTATTTATAGTTTTATCACAAAATATCATAACACATACCACAAATATTAATAACTTTTAAAAAATAAAATAATTATAATTTTTTTTTATGTATTTATGTACACCTTTTTTTGGGTGAACGCCATCACTTCATCATATTTATATATAATATGTTCGCATATGCACATCTAACTTTGCAATTTTAGAAGGGCAATTCATTTCAACTCTATCATTCCCAGAATGAAGATTAAGAAAAAGGCACATCTCAACAACACCGCTGAATACATTGAACACAAGAGAAAGGTCTCTCTCTCTCTCTCTCTGTAATAAATTATATTTTCAATTGCAGAATTATTCAATATTGTTCTTCAAATTTCTGTGAATGATAACAACTCTATCAAAACCAGTTCCAGTAATGTCTAGCATATATATATATATATATATTATAGGTTGTGTTTGATTGTGGAATTTGAGAAGGAAATAAAATTATAAGAAAAATATCAATGAAATGAAAGATATTTCTTCTTCTTCTTCTTCTTCTTCTAACATTCTCATTGTTTTTATTTTCTTTTCTCTCTACAAATTCCTTTTCAAGTGAAAGATCCAAATAAATATTTTGGTTATGTTTGGATATTAGATATGAGGAGGGGGAAAAATGGAATAAATTTGAGAATTGAGAGGTTTTGATTCTTTTATTTATTTATTTATTAGTAGACTGTATTAAATTCTTGGATATTAGATTTTAGATGACTAAGAGGTTGATTCTTTTTTCTATATATATTCACAGATATTTGAGAATTGAGACTAAAAGAAGAAATTTAACATTTCTTGGTTACAATGACAAACACAATGAATCATGTGAGGCTATAGTTAGCTAAAATTAGGGTTAATTACACCAAAACACCTCAAGTTTAAAAATATAATACTTTCACTCCTGCAGATCACATTCAAAAGAGGGTCAATATGTACAAATTCATATAAATAAGAGGGTTAACGTGATATTTGTTAATAGTTGAAGAGATTCTAGTATAATTAACTACATTTGAGTACTCATTGATTTCCCTTTCTAAATCATGATGCAGAAAAAATGGATTGATGAGAAGTTTAGTTGTAATTGCTTCACGTTGTACCCAAGATCTCTCTTTGTCACTTGGGGTACTCGTGTTGAATACTGGGATTGGAAATGTTTCAAAGAAACAAGGTGCGTCACAATTTTCCATTCCTCTGTTACTTTCATCCACAAAATTTTAATTTCTATTTTAGAGATCATAAATATATGAATTTTATTGTCATTCCGTTAATGATTTAGAGACCCGCATATAAATTTGACCAATTCAATGTTGGAGTAAGTCCTCCGCGATGACGATGTTAAGATTCACATTAGAAGGATCGTGTATTTTTTTTTTTTCAAACCGCTTTCTAAATTTATGATCTAAATACAGTCTACATGGATTTTGATTTTTTGCAGCGATGAAAACGTGGAGGTAGCGAAACTGAAAGCCGTGTGCTGGCTGGATGTGAGAGGAAAGTTCAACATGTCTGAGCTCTCTCCAGGAATTGTTTATGAGGTTATTTATGTAATTAAGTTGACAAATGGGGCAAGTGGTTGGGAGCTCCCGATTGTACTCAGGTTGTCCCTCCCTGGAAAACTCCAAGAACGCCAAGTTAGCCTTTTGGAGAAGCCCAAAGGAGAATGGTTAGAGCTCAATGTTGGCAACTTTCAAACACAAGATTGTGAAAATGGAGAGGTGTGCTTTGATCTTTATGAACATGGTGGGCATTGGAAACATGGACTTATTATCCAATGTGCAATTATTAGGCCCAAAACTTCGACCAATTATATTATTGTATAATGCATCCATCTGGTTTCATTTAGTTTTAGGTTAGTAACTTAATGTTATATCATCACATGCTTAAATAATTGTATTTTTAAGGGTCTGTTTGATCGGACTAATTATGGTATAAGATTGAAATTATTAGTTTATGGTACTCATAGTCCAATATATTTAGTTGTAATTTTTTATTATTCAGATTAGATTCCGATGGACATCTTATCTAATAAAGTTGATAGATTTTTTAATGTGAGCTTTTTTTATAAATCTTCTTTCTAAGAGTTTTATTGCATCTAATCCATATTGTTTTTTACTATTCCATTAGGTTTTATTTGAGGTAAGAAGACGAAAACACCATCAATCTCTCATACCCCCTCTTAATGTTGATATTTAATGTTGATTGTCATTATGTTTTGGTAGTTCCCATGCATCAAGATGTTGATTATCATTATATTCATATTAATTTGAAATGAATTTTTGTCATTGTGTTGTCAATTACATGATGTGAATATTCACATCATGCAATTGAAATGAATATTCACATCATTATATTCACATTAATTTAAAATAAATTTTTGTCATTGTGTTGTTAATTACATGATGCGAATATTCATACTAAAGCATACAAATGTAAACGTTTACATCACTATGTTAGATGAGAGAGAATGTTCACATCACTACATATTGTGAATAAAAATGTGTTGTCAATTAAAAATTTAATGAACGTTATTTTAATGTGTTGTCAATTAAAAATATATTCACATCAGATGAGAAAGAATGTTCACATTATTTTTAATGTATTGTCAATTAAAAATATATTCACATTATATAATAATATAAAATAATAACATCAATATTATTTAATTTGTATATGAAATTTCCTATGCCTGGGTCCTTTTCCTTCTCTCTCCTCCCTCAATATTAAATATCAACATTAAATATCAATATTAAATATAAGGACATAAAAGTCTAAGAAAATAATATAAATCAAGAAAAATGACTTTATGAAATAAAAGTATAAATACATAGGCCTAAGTGGGTTAAAAAATTTCTTCATGAACTTCTTGAGTTTAAACACTTCTAAATGAGATTTACGCCCATTTTTTAATCTTATCATTAATAATGTAATACAAATATACAATTGAGATTATATATTTTTATATTTATTTTAAAACAAACGTGTATAAGAGGGAATTATTTAAATAACATGAAACGTAAAATTTTGTCATATTTGTATTAGGTTCGTATAAATGAGAAGATAGGTTGGTGGTTACCGTGAATTTCTCGTTGAAAATAAATAAATAAAATAAAATAAAATAAAATAAATTTTGAAGAAATCAGTATGGTACAAGCTCGAATTTCAGCCGCCAGAGAAGATGGAAGAGTAAGACACAGCGCATGTGGACCAAGGAGATATTGTTCTTCATTGAAGCATACCTAAGCTATCTAGCTGTAGTGCCCTCAATTTCATAAAATTCGACTTATCAAATCTAATATTCACTATTCATTTCTATTAATCAATCAAATTATAAATGCGGAAGCTAATAATAATCCTCAAAACAAACCAAAATTTATAAGTGAGACAATTATCTTTCATTATGTGTGTTCCATTCCAAATGATCTTTGAGATTACAAAAGATGATTACATGTATTAATATATTTATAACTCTAAAGTTTGAATCTATAACATGTAATATTACAAAAACTAATAAAACCAAACCTATGATTTAGTCTAATTATTCTAGAAGAGACTTATATGTAAGTCCTAATAGGTGAACTTATCGTTTAATAAGTACTTTGATAATTAATGGCGTTTTTCATCAAATATTATTAACAAAAAATATTAACTGTTAGTTTTCAACAACAGTTTGAAAATGTTGTCACAAAAATTGTCACTAATTATAAGTTTTAGAGACAGTTTAAAAAAATTATCAAAAAAATGTCACAAATTTTCAACTTTCAGTGACAGTTTAAAAAATTCATCACAAAAAAAATTATTAATTTTAAGTTTTAGCGACAATTTATAAAAATCGTTACAAAAAAAACCATTAATTGTTAATTTTTGGCGATATATTCAAAAAAAAAAATGTCACAAAATTATTTTTAGAAATGTTTTACTGAACTTGATAGAAAGTAAGTCCAACTATTAGGACATGTTGATAGTTAGTCCCTATACTGTGGCCTTTGTATCATTTTGGTCCTTATAATTTCAATTGGCTCAATTTTGATCTTGATTTTTTTAATTTTTTTCAAATTGGTCCAATTGATTCTAATTGTTAGTAGCATTTTTTTTTTTTTATGGCAAATGCACACATGTGCGACTTGTGTCATATTTTTATGGACAAAATTATAAACTTAATCAATTCAATCACTAAATCTCAACTAACTTGGTGATCATTTTCAGTCAAAAATCATAACAACGTTATCATTTGAATCAAATTGACACAAAATCTAAAATTAAATGTTAAAATTGAGCAAATTAAAATTATAGGGAGTAAAATAGCATAAACAATAAAATATAGGGACTATTAGTATAAATTTATCCATTATTATACTGGCTCTGTTTGGTAAAGCTGTGGGAAAATGATTATAGCTTATAACTTATAACTGTGAATATAAGCTAATTTCTGACTTATAAATTAAGCTTCTCCTCCCCCACTCAAAGAATAAGTTGATTTCTAACTTACAAAAAGGTATAAACTATATTGTTAAACTGAACCAAACACATCAAAATAGCTTAAATTAAACTAAAAGCTAAAATAAACTAAAGATAAGCTGTACCAAACAGGGCCACTATTCGGTTCTAAGTAAACGGCAACTATATAAGATTTTGAGGAATTTCTTACAAAATAGTTCGGCAGAACCGGCATGGGGCATGGCAAAACAGCGATGATCATAGTTTGTTTTAAATTTTATTTTGATTTTTGTAATTTTTTATGTGATTTTTTAAAAAAAATATTAATAACGCATGACCGAGAGACCACATTGTAATAAAATTGAAAAGATAAGATTCAAATTATTTAAATTAAAAGTATGAAGATTAAAGTAAAATTTTCACTCAAACGAGAGAAACCAGAGTTGTAATTCACCGAAATTTTTATATTAAGACTGGATACAATTCTTTTCCTAGGCCTTAATTATTTTAATTTTAACGTATCAAAACCTACTAAAGTCCAACTCTCAATACTAAACTCAAAAACAAAATTATTTTTAATAGTTGAGGACCCTAATTATTTTGATTTTAACTTATAATACTAAATTCAAAAACAAAACTGTTTTTATTCTTATTAGTGGAGAGCTCAAAGTAATTGATTTTAACTTTTTCAAAATCCCCTAACCCAATTTGCCGTTCTGAGATTGAATTTTCTTAGATTTTGATATTTTCTGTAAATGCCTTTTAGAATTTGTATCATTCCAAGTTTTATTTCAAATGTTTGTTAATGTTTCTTGAAAGTGAATTTTTAAAAATTTGAATTGATTGTTGCGTGTTGGATCGTGGATTGAATTGTTTATTTAATTATATTTTGCATACAGTATTTATATGGATATGAAAATACGAAAAAAAGAAGAAACAAAAGATGAATTAATTTAGTTTCATGTAGGAGATTTGGTTCAATTTTGTAATTAAAAATGTGAGAAATATTTAAATAAATAATATTGTGGTTGTTCAATTTTTCTTTTTCTTTTTTCTATATTTTTGCTCGGTATTTTTTTCTTGTTGTAAACGGCTTAGTTATAACACAACAAGCTTATATTTTATCTTGTTAAATTTTGTAATAATTTCTTCATCTTTTATTTAATGAAAAAGAAACTAATTTTATCTTTTTAAATAACATGTAAAAATCCCATATTGAAAGTTTTCACTTAAGTTTGGTTACGATGACAATGGTAAAAAGTAAGAGAAATATAAATTAAAAAAAAAAAAAAGAATTTGTCTTGAATGAAAGTGGTGAAAGTTACACAAAAGTTAAATTTCTTGTACAACTCATAATAGTATGGTAATTTAGCTTCTACTTTTTTGCAAAAAGTATAAAAAAAAAATACAAAAAAAAATTTAAATTTGTTATAAAGGTAGTTACTTATAATTACAATTCCTATTTTCTTGCAAAATTTTTTATCCTAATTAAATTCATACAAATATATATATATATATATATATATATACTTTTTATTTTCTTTTCTTTTATTTATTTTCTATCAATTTCACTTTTCATTATTATTATTTATTTTTTTTCTAATCAAACAGTTGTACGACCATCACTCTAGTTGTTGTTGTTCAAGTCTTCCTTCATAAAATTGCATAAGTTTCCAAGGAATGTAAATAAAGTTGGCCCCCATCTCATTCATTATCAACATCAAGATATATCTACTTCACCCATTTGCCAATGCCAGCTTTCATTTTATGTTTTTGTTCTCGAGGGAAAGCGATACTACTATTTATGGGGTCACTCTAGAAAGCACCAACTATTCAAAATGGGTGTTGTATTCAACGCATTACGCGTTATGCGTGTTGATACTTACAAGTCATGAATATGCATGTCTACGTGTTAGACACGTTACATAGCATGTAAATTTTTTTAATTAATATTATTTTTGAAGGACACATTCAAACACTTTACGAATCTGCATGTTTCATATTTGGATACACTTTAAGATACCTTCATTGATTTATTTTATATTTTATCTTGTTAAATTTTGTAATGAATTCTTCATCTTTTATTTAAGGAAAAAGAAACTAATTTTATCTTTTTAAATAACATGTAAAAATCCAATATTGAATGTTCACTTAAGTTTGGTTACGATGAAAATGATAGAAAGCAAGAGAAATAGAAAGGAGGAGGGGGGGAATGAAATTATTTTGAATGAAAGTGGTGAAAGTTGCACAAAAGTTAAATTTCTTGTACAACTCATAATAGCATAGTAATTTAGCTTCTAGTTTTTTTGCAAAAAGTATAAATATATATATATATATAAAAACTAATTTGTTATAAAGGTAGTTACTTATAATTAAAATTCCTATTTTCTTGCAAATTTTTTATCCTAATTAAATGCATACAAATATATATATATATATATAGTTTTTATTTTATTTTATTTTACTTATTTTTTTTTTTACCAATTTCACTTTTCATTATTATTACTATTTTTATTTTTTTTTCTAATCAAACAATTGTACGACCATCACTCTAGTTGTTGTTGTTCAAGTCTTCCTTCATAAAATTGCATAAGTTTCCAAGAAATGTCAAATAAAGTTGGCCCCATCTCATTCATCATCAACATCAACATATATCTACTTCACCCCTTTTTGCTCGACAAAGGGTAGTGCTGTGCGGGTAAAACGGCATAGTTTTGATGCTTTTGTTTTGTTTTGTTTTTTATTTTTTTTAAGTTGTTGTAAAGTTTCTTTAATAGCTTAGTTTTGTGGTTTGAAACAAAACAAGATAAAATCTTACAAATCTTTAAAGGAAAACATTTATTGATATATTTTTATTTCATTTTTATGAGATTTAATGAGTATTTATTGACTAATATTTTTGGCATTTAAAAAAAAAAAAAAAAGAAGATGATACTAGTTTTTTTTTTTTTTTTTTTGACAGTAGGTTGATTTTTAAAAAATCAAATGTTACTAGTTGTATTTTTTTTACATTGATATTTATTAAAATATAACTATGTATATTTTATGAAAAATGCTTGGGAGCACTAATTAGGTGGCAGTGGGTCCCACCATTAATGATGTGATGTTTTAGTCTTGGAGTTGTATTTTTTTTATTATTACTTTTTTAATGCATTAGTGCTATTAGTGGTGATGTTTTTAGTGGAATGAATCATTGTTGATATTTTATTCTCCACGGACTAAAGTATAATTATTTGTCAGTGTTGATAAATTTAAAAATAATATATGTAAAAAACGAAAAACATATTGTAGATGACTTGTTAATTTTATGTATTTATTTGTGAAAAATAAAATATAGTTAGTTACACTCTAATAAATATCAATGTAAAAAAAAAGAGGAATGAAATGTGTTTAGTCCAAATATTAGATTAGACATCATTGTTAGGGCGCTTAAGCTCCATCATGGATTTCGTTTCGATCATCCGAATCATTCATTTTTTAGGTCACTTTGGATAGATCATCTATACAAAAAAATTAAGTTGATTTGATTTACATCGTTATATAATTTTTGTATATTTGTCTTTGAAAAAAGATTTGGTTTATTTTCAAATCATTCCTATTGTTCATTTTTTTCAGAGACAAATATAATAAAATTATATAGTTACAGAGATCCAATCAACTTGAATTTTTTGGTGGATAATTTACACATAGTAAACTAAAAAAATAAACGGTTCAGATGATAAAAATGAGACCCATGGTGGATTCCACGGACTTGAACAGTGCTATCCAGTCCAAAAATTGAACTGGAGACAACCTATTGCCAAAAAAAAAAAAACTAGTCTCATCTAATTTTTTTTTTTTAAAATGCCAAAAATATTAGTCAATAAATACTCATTAAATCTCATAAAAATGAAATAAAAATATATCAATAAATATTTTCCTTTGAACATTTGTAAGATTTTATCTTTGTTTTGTTTCAAACCACAAAATTAGACTGTTAAAGAAACTTTACAATAATTTAAAAAAAAAAAAGCATCAAAGCTAATGCCGTTTTGCCCGCACAGCCCACCCTGCTGTGCTTACCCCTTGTCCTTTGCCAATGCTAGCTTTCATTTCATGGTTTTGTTCTTTCGAGGGAAAGCGATACTACTATTTATGGGGTCACTCTAGAAAGCACCAAATATTCAAAATAGGTGTTATGTTCAACGCATTACGCGTTATGCGTGTTGATACTTACAAGTTGTGAATATGCATGTCTACGTGTTAGACGCGTTACATCGCATGTAAATTTTTTTAATTAATATTATTTTTGAAGGACACATTCGAACACTTTACAAATCTGCGTATTTCGTATGTGGACACACTTTAAGATACCTTTGTTGATTTATTTATTTATTTTTAGAATTAATTTTAGTCAACCTAAAATATATGAAAATATAGAGAAGAAAAAAAGTGAAAAAAAATGAAAAAACACCCATATATACATATGCCTCTTATATCTCTCTGTTTTAAATTTATATTTGAGCAAATTACACATGTAGTTTCTAAATTTTTCTTTTTGTATCATTTTAGTCTATATATTTTCAATTAACTCAATTTTAACTCTTAGTTTTAAATTTTGTTTCAATTTGGTCTAATTGATAACGTTGTTATGTTAGTGTTTTTGAGTGAAAAAGTGTCATTGGTTCTATGATTAGGAAGTATGATCACCTAGTTTAGGCAGCTACCTATGTGTAGATCACAATTTGGGAGAAAGATGATGGGCTAAGGGGTTCTAGATAGAGGGGACCAAAGACTCATGTTGTGTGATGACCGGTTCGTATTTAATCTTATTCTCTAGAGTTGTGTCGATATTGCCTTCGTTCGAAGTCGGGTTTCGAGTGTAGTCCTGCCGTCAGTGGTGTTCGTTGTTCCTGAGAATTATTTCTATAGATATTTTCAGTTGCATTGTTTCATTTCTGAATTTGTGCGTGTCTCGAAGGGTGCGAGGTCGACTCCAGAGTGCCGAGGAGGAAGCCGAAGTTTTTCCGGGCAAGAGGGCCAGGGCCGCACGTGCAGGAGGTCAAGCCGCACGTGTGGGAAACAGGGCAGTAGGCTGGGTGCACACTCCTAAAAAGGCAGGTGCGCGAGGTGGTGCGGGGAAGGACCGTACGTGCGCAAGTGAGAGTTGCACGTGCGGGAGGGGCCGCTCCGCACGTGCGGGGAGGTACGCCGCACGTGCAACAGAGCGTGTTTTTACTCCGAATTTCGTGCTTTCAGCTATATTTTTGTTATTTTGTCCCTTTTGCCTTCATTTTCAAATTATATCACTCTCTCTCTCTACAATATTTTCTCTCATTTCCTCTCATCTCTCTCTATCCAAACCCACAAAACATTATACCTTCTTTGATCTCAAGAAATCCTTAGAGATTTTGATGCTAGTCCCTTATACCAAAATGATGAGTGTGTCGAGGGCTTCGTCTTGACTGGTGGAGATCGTATTTCGGCGACGTCGATTTTGGGCTCTTTCTCCTCTTCTCTCTTAAGGTAAGGATCTCTTTGATTCTTTTCAATGCCTCTACTATAGATAGATATGTGGTATGTTTTTATTGCATCAAAACCATGTGGTATGGGTTCATTTTCAAAAATCATGATAGGGAATGTGAGGCTTGGGTGTTGAGATAGAGATTGCATGGGATGGATTGATGTTAGGTTAAAATTTGGGGTGTGATGCACTATATTCATTATTAGAGAGATAAAGCCCTAGTTCTTGTTATAATGCTTAATGGATAAAAAGGGATTGAAAATCGTGAAATAATTATGTTATGAATTTATGAAATGAGGTTAATGTGTTGGAATTTGATTTAAGATTTAATTGGATCTTACGATTTGGGTATTATTTTGGTGTTGGATTGACTATGTTTAAATATAATAAATTAATAAATTGTTAATTGTAAAAATATAACCATGAAATTAGATTATTAATGAATCACCTTACCATTAAATAGAAATGATGTGAGTTATAACATGCCGCCATGATAGAAATCTCCTATTTAAAATGATGGAAAGTGAATTGGTCATATTTTTGTGAAATGAAGTAGAATTGGATTAAGGCATAAGGTGGAGAATGTTATTGTAGAAGAAAAAGGTAATTAGTTTTGTAATGGATGGAATGAGACATTAACATAATATGAGTCCCGAAGATTTACTTGAGTTTGGATCACTAATGCTTTACTTCCTTGTTTTTGATTGTTGGACTTAACACCTCACGAGAATTGAATTGTAAAACACATGTGTTGAAATACAAACACTTAGAGGTTTTGTCCTTGGTCATCGGTGGAGGATGACATTGTTGTGTTGAATGGTTGCATGTACGTTTTACGCTTGAGTTGGTTGCACTCTGTTGTGGTTGCTTGTATGCATTGCATTTGTTGGTTGTACCTTATCATGTTGTGATGATCGAAAGGGGTGTAATGCGCTGAGAATCAGAGGTACCATTCCCTTCCAACTAGCGCCTGGTAAAATGGAGCAAAGGTACCATTCCCTTCCAGCTAGTGTCTGGTAAATTGGCATGTTGTTGTTGAGAGGTGAAATCATTGGCTTACTGTGCTTGAGGCAAGTAGAGCGGAGATTTGTTGTTATTGTTGTCTTACTTAGTTATGTGTATTATATGTTGTGATGTTATAGCGATCCCGGGTTTGTCCCCTTTATGTATAGTGTTCCGGTCGTAGGTTCCGTGGAGTTGGTTTTTTTTTTTAGTCGTGCGCTCGAGCAGACCATATCACGCTGGAGCGGAGTTTTCACACTTCCAGTATCTGTGCCTCTGCAAAATTTCTGCAGGTGTGTTTTTCACGCTCGAGCGGGTTTCCTTACGCTCAAGCAGGTAACGCTCGAGCGGGTATGTTGGAGCTCGAGCGGGGTGTTCATTGTCTGTGAAAGTTCTGAGAGGGGGTAATCTACGCTCGAGCGAACTGGTTTTCGCGCTCGAGCGGACGTATTTTGTTCTTGTGTCCTAGCGCTCGAGCGGGCCTTCTTGCGCTCGAGCGGGTCCAGTTTTTGTGCTTGACGCTCAAGCGTTCTATTATCCGCTCGAGCGGATCATGCGTATATCAGTTGGCAGCTGTGCATTTTTTAAATCACTTTTCAACATCCTTTCTCTCTTTTACTTTTCCGAAAAAGCCATTTGAGAGCTTCTCTCACTAAAACTCAACTTCTCTCTAAGTATTGATCTAGTAAACTGATTTCCTCACCTCTGGCCTTTACAAAAGTTATGTTGATCGTCGAGGGCTACGTTTTGATCCAAGCATATTGAGTTTTGGAGCACTTTGAGTTTCGTCATCTACTCCCTTTGAGCTCCGAGTTTGAGGTAGGGATATCCTACTCCTCCTTATGAGTTTTGTCTTTGAATTTTAGCATTTTAACATGTTGGGGGTTGTTGGGTATTTTGAGAAAGTTTGGGTCTTTGTGTAATTTTACAAAAGATGGGGATTTGTTATATGTAAACCTATATGCATGTTTAATAAAGAGAAATGAGGCTAATGTTGAACTATTGAAGAAAATGGAACCTTAGTGTTGTTATGTAGATTAAGGGTAAAGCCCTAATTACATTGATAAATTAATTTGTACAAGAAATTTAGGGAATTGAGAAATTGAATAGGAAATATTCAAATTAGAAAGATATGGGGTTAAAGGGTGTAGTTGGACTCACTTATCGCTCACCTAGTTAAACTGTTGATAATATATCAAATTGGTGCATTTATTTCCTATTTAGAAATAACTGTATTGGACTATCGGTGGAGGATAGTCTTGATTGTTGTAGGCAATGTATGATGATTAGGCAAACTAAGGCTAATCTATTGAGTATGCTAATGAACATGGCAATTGGTTTAATACATCAAAATGTTGTATTGATAGGTTGAATTTGTATATGATAATTGTTTATATGTATTGTATTGTGTGGGAGGAGAACGGGGCTGTACTCCACGGTTTATTGGAAGAACGGGGCTGAACCTCTAAACCGAATCTTGTGACAGTGATACAGCACTACAATGTGTATCAGGCTGCGAATTAGAAGTGTTTTCTTGTGACAGTGATACAACACTATAATGTGTATCAGGCTATGAATTAGAAGTGTTTGTTTGATTTGATATAGCACTAAAATGTATATCATTATCATTCGTGAAATATGGAAGTGTTTGTTTGATTTGATATAGCACTAAAATGTATATCATTACCATTCGTGAAGCATGTAATTGTTTGTTGATTTGATATAGCACTAAAATGTATATCATTATCATTCGTGAAATATGGAATTGTTTGTTAGATTTGATATAGCACTGAAATGTATATTGCTGAGAAATATGGAAATGTTTTGTTTGACTTAGATATGACACCAACATGTATATCCATCATGAATTTTGAAAGTGTTCTAGTGGGGAATTATGATCTCATCAAATGATTTGGCCAGGGCATTGAGCCTTGTTTTCAAACTCTAAGTTGAATAAGAAAAGGAAAGTGAATTGTAATACAGACACGAATGTCATGGAACAGTAATGTGAGGTAAACGAGTGTACAAGTGTTGACCATCTATCAACTGCTAATCTTTTAGTCATTGCTTATAGTTGGTTTAGTGTATTTCTACTAGGCTATAGCTCACCCTATATGGGACACCATTTTCAGGTACAGGAAGCATGCCACCTCCAAGGACATAGCTTGAGAGGCTAGAGGCAGGCAGACGTTGTGGTTGTGTTATCTTTTGTTTTATTACATGTAATTTCAAGCCAAAGGCTTAATGTGTATTTGAGTTAGTACTCTATTCCTTGTAACCAAGTGTTAACTTGGAAAACTGTAAGCCCGTAGGGCATTTGCTTTCGTTGTTAACATGTAATGCTTTGTAAAGAATTATTCTGATGAATAGAATGATGTTTATATCTTATATCAACGCATGTCTAAATTGATGGGATTAATGCAATTTTTTTGGGGGGCGTTACAATCATGATTCGACGAGGTTGAATTGTCTTATATGTAGTGTAGATGTGTTTGAGTATGTTTGGATGTGTTGAGAGTGGTTGAGGGAGTTGCTTACCAACAATGAATTATTGATGATATTTCTTTAACTTGAATGTAAGGTTGAAATGCAATGAATGTGTGGAGTCAGACTTGGGTTCTTATTTTGAATTGATAAATATATGAGAGCATTGGTTTTGGTGAACGTGTTTTCAAAAATAAAGTGGGTATTATGGGTATTTGTCACAAATGGAACACGGAAATGGGTAAGAGTTGTTCATTGGGAAAAAGGGTAGTAAAAGTGGAAATTGATGTTGCTAAATAATTAAATGATTTTGAGAACAGTACATATATATGTATATACTTTGGTTATAAAATGTCACATTATTTATATGGTATGAGATTAGCATTCATGATCATAACTATCTGTAAGTTGTTATTGTTGAGGATCATGCTGAGATCCTTACTGGACTATATGTTTATCCCACGTTGTTCAATCTTTTTCAGGTGATTATCACAACGTACTACAAGATTTTGGATCTTCTTTATTTGTTGGCCACGGGGCCTCTTTATGTGTAGGCAGAATGCCATTGATATAAAAGGGTTATACCCTTCTTCTTGACTTTTAAATGATGTAAGCCTATGGGAAATTTCTTTAATTGTATTTCGTGTTGCATTCTTTCATCCGATTGAGAGAATCCCATTGATTTATTCCTTGAGAATATTACGCGCTAACTCTGAAATTGAATGTATAATAAAGGCTTGGTAATAGTAATCCGAGTAATAAAAAGTGGGGCGTGACATGTTGGCACCAGGAGCAACAATAGTTAAATAGGTTCCACCTCATATTAGCTCCAATCACAACAGATTAGGTCAATATTACTATTGTCAGGTTTGAGTTCGTGGAGGACTAGATAAAATGTAATGGTTTGCTATCAGTATGGTCAGCTAGGCCATAAGTCACCTAAGTGCCTGTAGAGGGAGAGGACAGTAGCAAACTCGTGCACCAAGTTAATCACTGAGTATGGGACAACAACCTACCTATTATTAGTGTTGCCAGTCCAATCACATCAAACAGTTTTTCTCATAGCCTAGGGGCGCATCTAGTGCTATAAGCTCAAACTCAAAGCCTTCAGTCAAGGCATTATCATCAATTCCTAACATGGATATTCATTAAACTCCAGAGGTTTACAAAAGAATGTTCTACATGCGGTTATACATTCAACATTCCAAGAACATGAATCTATAGCATGTGGCATGATCAGTCAAGTACGAATTAATGCCCTCAAGGGCTACAAATTTCAAGGCTTAAGCCCGGTTATACAAAAATGGTTTTTCGAACCCATACATGTAAAACCCTTGGCTTGTCAAAAATAATTAGAACAAAGAAAAGAGCCTTGTACTCTGAAAGCATATTCCACATCTCTAACTCGACAAGATCACCACATCTTTTCCTGCACAAAATCCATAGGGTAAGCACAAAACCCAATAGGAAAATCTTAACACAGTATATATATTTTATACAATCTCTTGGGATGAATGCATATGCTATGCCATGTTTAAAAAAACATACATCTCTATCTTTTGAAACTTTTGTACACAATGCAATTTGAGAATGTAACAATTCAATGATTTCAATGTAGTTCAAAGGGGCGGTAAATAGGACTCAAGTAATTCCTAGGTTGGTATCCTACGTGTGGAAGACCAAAACTACCTTGAGATTTCTCAATTTCTTAATTCATCCACACAATCATCCATTGTGATCAAATTTCAGATCTTATCAATATAACATCATAATATATATTTCCAAGAGACAATATAACAATATCAACATTCATGTATTCTCCACATGTTAAACATCATTTTTTAAACTCGATTTTTCCAAGACAAACCAACAATAAGTTTTAAAATCAACTATTCTCATTTCCTTCATGAAATTCCCTCATTTGATACAACCATAGGAATTCCTCCATCATTTCTTCACATAACAATTCACCAAGCATAAATTTCACATTACCTCAACTTTTTCTCCCAAAATCCCCAAATTCTAGGGTTTCCACCAAAACAAGGTTTTGTTCCATTTTGGAAAAGATTTTTCTAAAACAACACCCACACCTTGAAACATAACTCAGATTCTCAAAGGTTGTGGGAAAAATAGATAAAATCAACTTCTAACATCATCTAGGGTTCAACAACCCAAAATCATAACTCAAACATGTAATAAATGCTTCAAACAAGCATAATTTTGCAAATATATATATATAACTCAAAGATTATCCTTACCTCAAGCTTGGGAAACGAAGAGGAAGAAAACCCTAGAAATTAAAGTTCACAAAAACACAATCCAATCGGTTACAAATGTAGCCCTCGTCGCCCTCTTCGATTTGGTATAAAAAAAACCCCTCAAAATCTTGAAGATTTGAGCTAAATCTTAAAGAGAAGTTGAATTTGGGTGTGTTTTTAGAGAGAATGAAGAGAAAAGATGAATATATATATATATATATAGAGAGAGAGAGAGATGAGACAAAAATCTATGCAAAACACTTTTTGGCATCAGTTTTGAGAAAAAGAACACGAATTTCGAAATAGACGCTCTGAAATCTGCTCAAGTGGTTTCAATTCCACACGAATGGAATTTCCAATCCACACGAGCAAAAATTATTGCCTCATGGGCAAATTGCTCTAGAGAGCCGCCCAGAAAATCTGCCCAAAATTTGCTCAAGTGAGACCCAAAATCCACTCCAGCAGTTTTCTACCCAGAAAACTCTGAAAATTTTTGGAAAACTCTGTGAGCATCCACTCGGGCAGTTTTCAATCTCTCACGAGCATTTTTGCCTAGAAACTAAGAATTGATTTTGTAACCCAAGGCAAGTTCCAATGCCCAAAACCCTAAAATTTTTAACCTGGAAAAGTTACGAGAGGTTAAGTAAGAGTAGGAAAGAAATCTCAATGACTCAATACGATAAACAAAACACCGAAAGTAATGCACTCTCCCCTACTTCACAATACTAATCAAGTCCAAGACTCGCATTCATTTATCTCATCAATATTTTCATCTATCTTAGGGTTAGAGGTTAATATTCTAGAGATTCCTTTGAGTGTAGAGTCACAATTGGGAAGAGAGTGGTCTTAAGATGAGTCTGATGCTCTTGCAAAATAGAGGTTCCAGATCGTTGGCTATCATTTGATTTCATTATGTTAGACAAGATGGGCTTCGATGTCATTCTTGGCATGAATTAGTTGACTTCTTATCATGAGACTATAGATTGTTATTGTAGAAGAGTGTCGGTGCGCTCTCTAGTTGGGGATCATTTTTATTTCTTGGGTGATCGAGGCGATAGATCCATTCCACCATTGTATGATCTTCAGGGTCAAGGTGAACTTAGCTTCTTTTTTTTTTTTTTTTTTTGCTATCACCCTAGTCGATGAGGGTGACATAATTCAAGGCATGTTACCAAGAGTAGTTTGTGAGTACCCAAATCTTTTTTCAAAAGACCGTACAGAGTTGCCGTCATATCGAGAGATTGAATTCTCCATCGACCTAGTGCCAGACATAACACCAATTTGCATGGCACTATACACATTTGCAGTTTCTTGATAAGGATTTCATCGACCCTAGCACATCGCCATAGGGAGCACTCACTCTCTTTGCCAAGAAAAAGGATAGGTCTTTACAGTTGTTATAGACTATCACAAGTTGAATCGAGTCACCATTAAAAACAAATACCCACTGTCTAGAATAGATGACATGTTCTACGAACTCAACGGTTCTCATCGCTTCTCCAAAATTTATTTGAAATTTGGTTATCATTAATTAAGGGTTAAAGAAGAAAATGTACCAAAAATAACATTTTGCACACATATGGCCACTATGAATTCCTAGTCATGCTTTTTGGGTTAACAAATGCCCTAGCATCATTAATGGACTTATAACGATTCCGGTTTAGACCCATCCCACTCCTTGATTTTGAATCCAAGAATCCATGTACTTAACTATTGTTCATCTTATTTCCATCTTGTTGCTTATTGAGTTTGGCTATTAGGAGTTTTGGCTACGTTGTACTCAAGCAATCTTTTACAATCTACAAAACTACTAGAAATGTGGTATCTTCGCTCAAGTAGTCATTCATGCGCTCGAGCGGTCTTTTGCAGGTTTGAACTTCTGGGAGGGGGTCATTGTGCGCTCAAGGGGTGGTTTTGATCGCTCAAGCAGTGTCATTTACTGTGCCTTACGCTCGAGTGGTGTTTTGGTCACTCGAGCGGTCTGTGCGTATATCAGTCCAAGAAAAAGCCATTTTGAGTCACTTTTTCATCATTCTCTCTCTAAACATTTCAAAACCCTAGATCTTTACTCTCTCTATAGTTCTTACCTTCTAGCTCTAAATACTCTCAATCCATTGGTTTTCTCACCCTAGTCCTGTGGAGAAAAAGGTAGAGCACGTCAAGGTCTTCGCTTTAATCGGAGGAGTTATTGTTTCCGGCTCTGCCAAAGTTTAACTCTTGTTATCTCTTGTCTTCTACTTGAGGTAGGGATTTCTTGACCTTTAATAAAAAAAAATTCAGCTTAGTTATTTGCTCTTTGAAATCGGCTACTAATTTGGGGATTTTTGGGAAAACCTAGGGTTTGATTTTGAAATCAAAAGAGGGGTTTTCCAAATAGGTTCTTGAGAATGGTTATGGGGATGTGTTTATGGTTGAGATATGTTAAAATGGTGGATATCCTTTCTTAAAATTGATTTTGTAAGTATAGGGGATTTTTGTTCTAAAATTTGAAATATTTGGATTTGTGAAAGGAAATTGAAAATGATGTTGGGTTTTATAAGATTGGAACAATGCTTATGTTGATGATGATGGTGGAGTTGGATATGTAATATCACTCCCATTATAAAATGATGGAATTATTGGAAACTATTTGTTGTATAGATATATCTGTTT